ATTTTTTATAATAAAAATTTTTAAACAAAATCTTTAAATTTTTATTGCTCAAAAGTTTCTTATTAATTTTAAAAAAAAATTCTAATAAACTGTATTCTACATTATTAATAATTTATTGTGTTATTTAAAAAATACTAAATTTAATTTAAAAATCTAAACAAATTTGCCTAAAAAACAGTTTAAAGGATATAATTATTTTATTTCAAACTTCTTAGTAGCTTTTATATCTATCTGTTAAAAACTACACTAAAATAAATACACCAAATTGCAAACATATTAGTCCAGTTTAATTAATAACAGATCTTTTCTTAAAACAATATTAACTAGACACTAACATTACAATACATATCAAATAAAAAAAACTATTAGTTTTAATTACTGATCTATTATTCTCAATAATAAAAAACTTTAAGATTAAGTTTCTTTCTAAAAAACTGTTTATTTATCTTCTTCTTTATTGGAGAAATAACACAAAATATTCAAACTATCTTTGCTTAAAATATTATAATACTCCTAAAAACTTTATTTACCTTTTAATACAATTTTGAAATTATCTGTATTTTATAATATTAATTACACAAGCAGTGCACAAAACTTTGAACAACTTAGAAATACCTATTACAGAATAAACAACTTTATTTAAAACTTTATCATTACTTATATTAACAAACAAACACTTTTAGAACTTATAACAAAGAATAATTTGGGTTGTAGTTCTCTAGTAGCAGGTCTAGAGTTTAAATTTTATCTATAATAAAATTTGAAAATTATATCTGTGTTAGGCATTTCGATTGTTTCTAAAATAATATCGGAAGAAACAATTAGAAATATCACCGGCAAAATAGCTCCCACATGATAATATCGTGCTTGAAGTAGAAAACCAAAAATACCTCTGAATTTGATTTTCCTTGCACGCATTAAGTTACAATTTCAATGGTTAAAAAAAGGTACTTTTTTTTTACATCAATTGAAAAAAAATTCTTTTTTATTAGGATTATGTTTTTCTATTAAAACATCTACGACTCTATTGTAATGTCAATCATTCATTTATTTTATAAAAATACTTTAGTTTCATAACCTTGGAATATAAAATTTGTTTATTTAATATATGGTATAAAATTTGGCAATTTCGCTATATAACATTAAAAATATGCATATTTGATTAAAAGTTATTAAATGTTTACACCTGTTTTTTTTTACGGATTTCTAAAATTTGTAAATTAACGAAAATTTTCTTATTGGAATTTTTTAAATTTACATTTATTTCTTAAATATCTGTCCGTCCTCTTCTGTGAAAATATTGGAATGCTTCTCTATCTTTTGTTTTTCTGCTGCCATAACCTAAAAATAAATCTAATTAGCATTCTATATAATAAATCATTATCACCTTTAACGCAATATTACCTCTATCCTTCTTTTTACAAAATGATATGCTTCATATGTATGCTTTATCAAGAGTGACGTGGGAAAAGTTTCTGAAATTGAATCCTCATCTATATTATCTGGCCAACAGCAGAGAGCTGTTTGATTCAAATATTCTGATAAGGGGTGATCTTCTCGTATAGTTTCTATTAATAACTGACGGAACATAAATCGTTTTAATGCATTTATAAATGCTTCAGAAGTAATAAGATTTGCATTAAGTTTTATTTCTTTTTCATCAAAAGAGCATGATGCCACAATCTCTTTTTCTATTTCTTTTGTGAGACAAGCTTTGTATTTTATGGTAATACTTTCTATCATAATATCTGCAACTTTTCCTTCAACAATTTCATAAAGCGCAACAACATGTTTGAGTTGTAAGCCAGTATTTAGCACTTTTTCTAGTGCTTTATTTTCAGTGAGAACAGAAAGCTTCACCCAATGTTGAATATAATTTTTGAGTGTTATATTTCCATCACTTCCTGCAGTTCTCTTAACGAAACATAAAAGCAGTTCTAAAGCAGACAATAGTTCTGATTCATTGCCAGATAATATTATCTCTGCGTTTCCGGTGCTGTTGCTAAATTCGGAAGGATAATTTGATGAAGCTCCACCAGTAAGTAATGCTAACATATCTTGTGGTATAGATTCTTGTTTAATTTTTTGTTTAATATCATACAATATTGTTGTGGAACTTTGAAACATTTCCATACAGTAAAAGAACGGTTCTAGAATGAGTCCACCTGGCTCAGTGGGTTCTAAATATGTTTTGTTAAATACTAGATTTTTAATAAGTTCTTCTTCAATTTTATAAAGATCATAAATAATCTCCTTTCCTCTACCAACATCAAGGATGCATTGACTATATTTTAATAATTTTGGATTCCACTCATAATCGATAAGATTAACTTGTCTAGCATCTTCAAGCCGTACAGATTTGATGAGATATGGACTATCTGTGTCTGATTCACTCTGATTCTCAATAAATTTCAACGAATGACATATTCCAGGTTTGATGCTCGTAATATCGCGTAGGAATTTGTTTTGAATATCGACTAAATATTCCAATGCCGCACATAAAAATAAGCCTGCATCCTTGCCCTCTACAAGACCAAAGACAATTTGACAATCCAAATTCATTTTGGGTTTATTTGTAGGTAAATCATGACATTGATATCTATCTATAAGTGGCATTACAGCATTCCAAGAATCTGCAAAATTATCAAATGCAACTTTAAGTGAATGCTGAAGTTCTCCATGTTCGGCAATGAAATTACGGAATGTCATATTTAATGCATCTTCTCGTTTAATGCGATAGTTAAGACGCATAGAAAGTATACGTGAAAATTTAACTAAGTGATACATATGTTTCAGGTGTGGTATAAGTTTCTCGTATTTGAAGTAGATTGAAATAAATGGAAAATTTTTGCAATAACTTTCATTATTTAAGTAAAATGCACGAAGGTTGGCAAGGCTCGCATTTCCAATATGTCTCCATAGTTTAGGTAATCGTTTTGCACTAAAAGCATCATCAAATACCAAAGTTTCATTTATCTCCGCTTCAAAGACCGTGGTTTTTTTCTTCCTTTCGTCTTTTGCTCTCTGGAGTTTATTACGCATGTTCATTGAGGCAGCTGCAGGATTTCTAGCCCGATCATTAACATATCGTGTGGTAAATTGACTTTCCCAAGACGTTCGTGCTTGCGTTGTTGATAATATATGGGTTGAAGTTTGTTTATCTTTAGCTATAGAATGAAGTATGTCATGTAGTATTAAAGCCAAATCTTCATCGTTACAGTTTAGTATAGCCTTTAACGCGTCCCAATCTTTGTTGATGTGATCCATACAATGTGCAATAGGGTCAGAAATATTTTTAAGGAATGTTTGTGAATACGAGGAGTTAGCAATGAGAGCATGAATGAAAAGGTGCAAGATTCTGTATGAAGGAGAAGTCATTTCTCGAACGCTTTTGATTTGTTCTATTGAGCCCGATTCCATTATATAGCCTCTTTTATCGCTATTAGCTATGACATTTTGAACCTGATTTGAACTTAATCTTGTTTGACCCTCTGCTGCTACATGGTGTTGTCCACCAATTGTTTTACCACATTTTGGGCAAGTTCGAGATTGCATAGTTCCACCACATTCACCAACAACATATTTAAATCCACAAGCACATTGGTACCTACATATGTACGTATATGTTGATAAGGGAGAACGAAACATCAATAGTAAAGATAACTGCAATAATATGATAACTTACCATGTAAATCCATGAAGAGCACTCATTAAGATTGCTTCTTCATCAGATGGACAAGTTAGTATATAAGTATTTTCAACATCTTGAAGTTTGTGAAGGTACATCGTTAATGGTGAATGATTAGATGGAAGTGATGCATAAACTGCAAGTGTATGAATAATAACTAAACGAATTAATAGATTTTTATTGTTAGTCTTTGGTTGAATTCCTAGAATAGGATGGTCATTGGCTAAAAGTCCCATTAAAAGCTGCTTATAAACTGGTGCTAAATTAATCGTATCTAAAAATTCTCTTAAATTAGTAATAATTTCATTTTCATTTACATTCAAGTTGCGCACTGCATGAATTGAAAGAAAACGTTCTATGATAACGCCGACAAAAGCAATGCGCAAATTAACACTGCTAGTTGATGGAAGTTTCTTCAAAAAGCTGTTTAACTGAGCTCCACTCAAAGAATCATCCGCATCTTCATATTCATCAAGCAAAGAGTAGGGATTAAAGGGTAATCGAGAATCATTATCTTTATTCCATGGTAAATCAGCGAGCCATGGTAGATTATCTTTCTGGAGATTATAGAATTGTTTAAGATCACTCATTGAGAAACCACGAGCTCGCAATTTCTTGAGGAAATAGAACTTGAGTGACTGGACTTGTGAGTGTCGACTCTGCATCAAATCATTCATTTCCACCATGAATTTATTTGAATATATGAAATTAAAATCGACCGACTCAATCAAAGTATTTTCTAAGGTTGAAGATGTCCAAAAGCTATTTACAAATTGTTTTAATAGAGCTATAGCACAAACAAGTTGTAATGGTTTAGTATTAGCAGAAAACAAAGCTTTGCAAGCGTCTTTGAATAACCCTTTAAGTCTATCAAATCCTAAATTAGCAAAAAGTTCTTTTTGAATAACATCACAGCATAATGCTGCTAGTTGTGAGTCACATGAATTCTTTTCTAATTGTTTATTTATTACACTAAGTCTTGGTGAGAAATCCAATGCCTCATTTGCGTTCCTGATTATAGCTGAGAATAAGTCTTTTTCTTCAGAACGAAATATACAAAGCACTATAAAGGCTGTAAAGGGTAATGGTTGAGCTTGTTCAAACAACCTTTCATAAAGACGTAAGCGAGTAGGCGATTCAAGAGGAATAATATCTAAAATTCGCAACACAAAGCTTTGTCTTGCAACGGTATTCAGATATGTGCTTTTTGTGTTAAAAAAGTCAAAAATGTAATCAATGAACCTTTTATCTGAAATACCATCATTACGTCCAATGTCAATAGCCGTTGAGAGATGGTTAAAATTAATTATTTGCTTTGAGACGAGATCATTGCATATATTTAAAAGTTGAAGAGAGGGAGATAAAGGTCCTGTTGAGAGTTCAGAACAAAGAAGAAGTATCTGAGAAGCCTCAAGTTGCCATTGTTCCAATTGTTTTTTATCAACTATCGTGCGAACACGATCCAGTGTTAACTGAGAAGCTATGTCCGGGAGATTCTTTGTAAAAGCCTCGAAGTCGTCACTTATATCTTTTTCTAATTCGGTCTTAATTGAAGGACAAAGCTTAACTAATTGCAACTCTGCTAGTATTATATCTGATTTTGCCCACCAATACGTATGAAGTCTTATAGGATTTAAGATCAATTGTTTACCCAAACGTCGAAGTAATAAAAGGTTGATAATGTTAAGGTTCTCATTGCCCCCATTATTAGAAGAGATGAAAGTTAGAAAATCTTTGTGATATAAATGAGGTGCCACTTGGGATGGCGAATCTTTCAGTGCAGGAATTTTTGATAAAATGTTATGAAATCTTTCAAAGCAATCAGCAAGTACATCATCTGATAGGTCTCCTGTATTGGTGTTGATATTATTTTTATCTTCTTTAAGTATTTTAACATCTTCCAAATAAAGTTTTTCATAAAGATTAATTTGTTTGATAAGGTAATATGAGAAGGGAAACTCCATAGTATATGGTCCGTTTGCCATGGGATAATTATCAGGTTTCGGATCCATTAAGAATTCAACATCAATAACATTATTGTCATCAAACATCTGATACCAAAATTCAATAAGATAGTTATCACCGTTTTTACTTTCGAGATTTAGTAAAGTTTTAAGAGCAGATAGTCGTTCAAGTACGCATAACAGTTTAGCAATATGCTTTCTCACAATGACTCTGATATATGATTGAAGAGCGGCGCAGAATGATGAATGTAAATAAAGTACTTTCTTGTCAGTGGCAACTTTCAACTGCCAATTTGTTGAAGCGTTCTCGTCTAACCACTTCAATGTTCTTTGCTTCAACATTTTTACAAATCGCGAATGTTTTGGAATTTCGTTGACAAGGTATCTGAAAGAAAATTTTATAATTTAAAATATGTGTATGAAAAATCGTATAAAAAATTTTGAAATGAATTAGAATTACTCACTTTATATGTTCTACAGAGTCCACTGTAGATGGGTACTTAATACATAAAAGGCACCATAATAACTCCTGCTCTAAAATATCTTCAAATGGTAAAACTGAATTCATGACATTTATGATTTTTCCACCCAGAAAAATTGGCAAATTCTTTTCTTCTGGTGTTAAAGTCCCAACGGTAATTTGATTCCATCCACACATGAAGTCAAAATAAGATATTGTTCTCTGTTCACGATGAATATGGAGAATTATGCAAACGTGTTTTACTGGCATATCAATGTCAACTTTTCGCTTTTTTTCCAAGTATTTGGTTCGAATTTGTTCAATAATGAATTTTGCTAACTTGATACAACTGGAGTTTACCATTGATTGATCACATTGAAGAATTAAAAGTTCATCGCTACTGTCCAGCCAAAAACGTTTTATTCGATCTTGCAGCTGAGCTTCTGTCTTAAATGTCGAAAGTTTATCTACTTGACAAGTTATTTCTAATGTACCCAAGCAGGCCTTAACATCAGTGTTAATGTTTGAAAATGTATTTACAATAATTAACTGTGCCTCTTCATTCTTTCGATTTTTTTTATCACCAATTAATATTCTTAAACATGACTCAATATCATCATGTATCCCACTATTAAAATAGGAGTCACATAACTCATTGACTTCTTGGGGTTTTTGCATGAATAAAAGTGATTTCTTTGCTCGGACTATACCGTCTGACGAGGCAATGGCTATTAATCTTTCCTTACATCTCCTTAATGTCAACTCATCATCTCCATTTTTTTCTTCCATTTTGCACTGATCGAATACTAAACTCTGAACGGTTTCATCTTTATTGAACCCTATAAAGATATCTTTTTCGGTGAACTCATTTGCTGCGACCCCTTGCACTGTTGATATCTGACGAACCCATTTAAACAAAGCATCACAAAGTTTATGATGGTGTTCAGAAAGTATATCGTTAATTGTCAATCGTTGTTTTTCAAATCGATTGAGCAGGGGTGGATCAGTATATTCAAGTTTACTTTCATCCATTACTAAAATGCATTTGAAATCTGGATGTACGTATAACATTGGGTTGGAGTAAGCACCAAGTGCAACGCGTGTAAAATACTTGGTGTCTTTACGACTGCCAAGAGTGATGTAATTCTGGTTCCACAAATCATAAAGACTTCCTATAAAAGAAATTTATTTAGGAAATTAAATATTTATTAATCAGGAATTTGATAAAAGAATTTATGTACCATATATAATATCTAAATCTGTGAGAATCAAAGGTCTTCCTGCTTCAACACACATCTAGAAGATGAGGAATTAATCATACTGATAATTAGTATTTGATGTCTTAAAACATGTTTTAAGATAGGATTAATTTATCTTGTATTTACCATTATCCTACTCAAAACGGCATACAAATAGTCACCATCACCGTCATCGGGAAATTGAGAGCCGCAAAGCACAACTGGATCCAACTGTTGAGTTCGCACGTGATAAGTTAGGATATTGACTAGAGAGTCACTCTTTCCTATGACCATTAAATGTCTCGTATTTTTTCGATTTAGGTTTTCATTTATGAGTCGTTCAACAGGAATTGGTGTGTACTTATAGTTATTGTTTTTACTGAAAGAATTTAAGACTTTGCCAAAATATTTTTCGCATATTAATTTTGTCTGATCGGTTCCTCCAAAATTTCTTATCAATCCTAGTTCCAATGTGCTCACTAATTTATAACCAAAATAAGAGTTAGCATCTCAAAGCATTTAAAGTATGTAAACTATAGTGGATAAATAATATAAAAAAACCTTACTTGTCAACTCAGAGCCAGTAAGGCTTTTTACTAATGCATAGTAATCACGAAGTCCTAGTTAAGTCAATTTTATAGTTAATATTTTTTTTGCCAAAAAATTAACTATGCCATAAGATGAAAGTTACCATGAAAGTTTTTATATTTTTGGTTCTTTTCGTAATCAAGATAAGCTTCAGCAAGTTGTCTAAGTCTGGAGTCTGTGATACCATTTTTAGTTTTGTCATCCAAGAGCATGGAGGCTGTTAAAACAAGGTCCTCAATGCCAAATTTTGGTCTTTGTACAAGCAATGCTCTGCTCGACTTGCTGTTATCCAAACGCCAATTACTAATACCGAGAACTGACACGTCTGGATCATCTTTAAAGTCTTTTTTACTACCTAAAGCTGATGATTCTTTAACATTTTTTTTGTTACTATTTGATACTAATAGGTCTTCACTGCTGATTTCTAGATTTTCTGAATCTTTTGAATTTTCATCTGAATTTTCTTTTTCATTTGAAATTTCTTTTGAATTTTCATCTGAATTTTCTTTAGAGTTTTCATTCGAATTTTCGATTGAATTTTCATTTGAACTTTCTTTGGAGTTCTCTTTTGAGTTTTCATTCGAATTTTCTTTGGAGGTTTCTTTTGAATTTTCTTTTGAGCTTTCTTTAGGTTCATCAACAATTGTCATTTCTTCAGCTTCTTCTCTAGAGAAACCAGGTTCTAAAAGAGCATGAAGAACTTTCAAGGGGTTAAATCGACTAGTTTCCGCTAGACCAACTTCGTCAAGAAGGACTACAGCTTGCACAGGATATGCTTTTGAACTTGTTTTTTGATAGTTTTTCGCTTTATCGAAAACTTTGACGATACCGGCCGAAGTTGATGACGCAGAACCTTGATGTGGTATAAAGTAGACCTTACAGGAACCCACACCATTTTCATTATTAGAATAGTAGTCTGTGATAATTTATGGTAAGATTCATGTAATTTACCTGTGGTAATGTTTTGAAATATTCGTCCTCAGAATCTGCTCCTCTAAAATTTGAACTAATAAGTCTTACAGCTAAAGATTTTGAGCTATCAATTATAAAAGTGCAAATATATAATAATATAGTAAGAAAGTTAGCAAAAGTAAATTGTGATAAATTGTGATAAATACGTATAAAATTTATACAAATTTCAATATGATTTATTTTGATTAGTATATTTCTAACCTTCCAGGAGCGCCGATAATAAAAACAGGGATTCTATTCAGTATGCAAACAATCATTATAAGAACATTCTCTAAAAGTGCTTCATTATCAGCTGTTGATGGAGGGATAACCATTCGTTGCATAAAATCTTCTTGTTCTCTACGAATTATCATTTGAAAATCTGTAGCGCTAAGCCTATCTCCGTGTTTACTAAAAATCTTTGACATACGTTCTCGATATCTTTTTCGTAAATCTTGATCATACAAACGTGATTGATAACAAAGTCCAAGTGATAAAACAAAACTACAACGTATCAATTTTTTTTTGTCTTTTGGCGGATAACTCCAACTTTTCGAAAAGAATGAAATACTACTAGTTTTCATAACTGGTGGTCGTTCATTCAGACTTTTTTGGAACCACATAGCTAATTTGATCGCCCTCTTTACATCACGTAAACTAACAGTGTATCGTTCTTCAACCATACGAATGAATTTTTGTGATTCACAAAGAAGGTCTACGAATACTGGATATACCCCTATTCTACTTTCTACCATTATCTTGATATATTCCTGTGTGTTTTATAGAGGAAAGGATTTTTTCAATAATTATAGTCAAAATACCAATATTTAATACCAAGGTTTAAGAAAGTGTGCATACCCTCTCATCTTCAGGCTTAAGAATTCCATAATCCCATACATAATCCAAAATTTGATTTGGCAGAGGATGTACCTGGTAAACCAATTTGCTCTGCTCTTGATAATTTTTTTCCAAACCTACACTACTTGCACTTTTGTTACGAAGTCGATAAGGATTACATGCAGCAAACAATCGAATATTCCAATGTATCGGTTTGCCAGACAATGTTCTATGAGCTATTAAATCTGAAAGGAGTCCAATATGATTACAAGTATTGATTTCATCAAAGAATAGCCATACTTGGCCATTCTTGGCAAATTGAGTGCTTGTTTCGATGAATTCATGAATCTGATCTTCTTGCACGCCGGCATGAAGTGAAAGTACTTTAAATTTGACTTCTACAACGGCTGCTAGAAAGCCAATAAGACTCGTCTATTAGAAAACATTAGAATGGTTAGGCTTCTTTTCTAAAGTCTTATCCTAAAGAATTTATTCCAAAGGCTTCATTCCAAAGATTTTATTACATACCTTTCCGCAACCTGCTTCTCCACATATTACTACTGGAATGTTTGCTCGAGCTCTTAATAGAATCAGGGCCATTTTAAGAAGATTGTCAGCTGACAACGCGTAATTAGGTAATTTCAATTTACCCATCGATTTTCGTGCTATACGTTCTAATTTCTCTAGTAAAGAACTCGCGGACATGGTATGATAATCATCCAATTCCCAACCTTTTAGATCTTCTTGTTGAGAGAAATCATTAATTTCTTGACTCAATATCAATTGTTTCACATTATTTGGAACATTATTTCGGTTACGATAAAGAGCACAAATAGAATCCGGAGTTTGAGACAAAAAGAATACCAAGAGATGATTGGAAGCATCCCATTGAACTATGGTTTCTAATTGATCATTACCTGCATTCATAGTAGATTCTAATTGTGCTACTTTTGTATTAATTGAGCGTATTGCAAAATCTTTAGAAACATCAAGCAAAGTTTTCACCAACGTTGTACGAACGTTCTTATCCCCTACCATAAGCTTAAGATTATCAACTGTAAAGAAAGAACTTGATGATAAACGGACCAATTGATCAGCAAATACTTTTAAAAAAATTTCTACAAATCGATATGATGCAACACTTTCATGGTTAGCTTTCAAAAAGTATTTTTGTATTAATTCATGACATCGTTCTGGTTCTAAAATATTATTCACACGTCTCGGTCCGGTGAATATAATATCTTTTTCGTTAAGTTGATTTTTATCATATATATCTAAATAATGTGATACTATTTGAATTGGACTAGAAATTTCTCTCGATACAGCAAGATCTTTTATATCCCAATTAATGAGCACCCTATTAACGTATTGTGCAATTGGGATTGTATTTAATAGACGTTCATTATCCGTTGATGCAATCTCAATAAATATATATTTTGGAAGGCAAACAATGTCCGTTTTGCTTGAGACGAATCCGAGTGTTAAAAGCTCGAAAAGAAAAACGTTAACATCATTAGGATAATCAACCGAGACAATGTTCAAGTGCATGCTTTCTATTTGTCGAAGTTTACATTCACTTAACTTTCGAACTAGCTCATCAAAACGAATGTTATCACTTATTAATAAACTTCGTACAACTAAATTATTCTTAAAACTAGCGTTTCTTATATATTCTGTTTTTCCTTGGCCGGATAGGTCTGAAGTAACGCAAAATACGTATGGACAAAGTTCTTTATACATATTTGTCATAGTAGTTTCACCAAGACCATTAGTGGTACACACTCGATCCGAAAATTGATCAAGAATATGATGATGAACTCCAGTTTCTCGACAACAAATCAAAGCCAAATAATAATCTTCTTTAGTTTCTTGATAATATCGCACATCATTAACTAACTTGTACTGCAATTCGAATTCAAGAAATTCTAAACCTGCAATACAAAATAGGTAATCCTTGTAACCATTTTTTGAGGCAAGAAAACATCTTTTGATGAACAATGAAATATCTTCAGCAGTTGTAGTAGCTCTACACATTAATAGTTGCCATGGTTCAGGATATAAATGACTGTTATTACATAAATGATTTGCATATAAAGATAGGATAATATTAGGTACACGACAAGTATCTGTGCATGCTGCAACAAATAGTTTACCCGAATAAACTACATCTGATACAATTGGTTCTAGTTTTGCATTAATTGGTCGAGGATATTCATATTGTTGTTTAAAAATAATATTCAACTTTTCACCTATTTTGCAAAGAACCTCGTAAAAGTTTATGTGATACATGTCGATTTTTATATCACCTTTGTTTGGCGGTAATTTTGCTCCTTTACTGACAAATCGAAGCAATGTTTCACATGTCTCACGAGTTTTAGAGTCAACTTTGTCATTGCAACTGAAATAATCATAAAATGCTAGAATATGTTTGGCAGTATAAAAAGTTAAATAGTAATGTTTTTCTTGTGCTCGTTTCATAGTATCCTCCCTAATGAATTTTTACAAGTTGACAACCATAAATAATAACGTTTATGATTAAAATTAAAAGATAACATTAAACTTACCATTCTCTCAGATCATCTTTAAGCTTATCAAGGTGTGTTACCATATTTTCAGTCGAAATCACAGATATACTCCATTCTCTATACGCAAAATGACCTAATTCTATTAGTTGAGAAGCATATTTTATAATATGGTGCACTGTATCTACTTGTTGTACGAATTTCATCAGTTCATCAGTTCCTTGTTCTAAACTACTTTCACTTTCAATCGGTAGACGTAAAACAAAAGCCGATGCTGCTTGTTTTGCTATTAAAAGAGCTTGTCCTTGTAAATCTTGTAAACCAGAAAGATCATAAGTATTTGTCGATCCTGACTTGTCTTTACATAATAATTCTACTACACATTTATCATGATTTTCATCACGATAAAATTGGTATAAACCCCTTGTAGCAGCATCTTTGATTCTTTCCTTAGTTACTTCTCCTCTATTCAATATGCTAAAGTATATATTTTGAAGGGCAATACTACTTGAACAACATTGAGTTATTTTTTCATGTAACGACTCATTCTTTAAAGTTATATTATAAACATGATCTAAAAATTTAGTTATGACCATAAGTGTCGACTTTCCTTCCTTAAAAAGTTTTACCATATCTTTAATAAGAGGAGCTAAAAATTGTTTAACTTCAATCAATGAAGCAACAGTTTCATCTTGAACTTCACGTTTATCATCTACTCCATTAATTAAATTTCTTAAATCACCCTCTGCTATTGTTTGAAGCCAAGAAATGAAATCACCAGCAAAAGATAATGCACCAATCATAGCCCAACAATTATCATCAATGTTATGAATATGTTTATTTGCTTCACTAAAAGCATTAAATAATTCTAAAAGCGTTAAAGATTCTTTGAGTAACCTATTATGTACATTAGCTACCCAACTATCAGCAACATCTTGAACTCTAAAATTTTTCAAAGTTTTTCCTAAATCATTAAGTCGTTCTCTCCATGACTTAATATGAGCAAGATAACTTACTGCCTTTTTTAAGTTATCTTTTGGTTGCCATTTCATATCTCGAGAAATTAATTCAAGTTCATGATCAATGTTTTTAACTTCAACACCTTTCCAAAATGGACTAATCTTTGAGCATTCAAGTTTTGTCCAATCTTTATATTCTGCTCTTAAATTATCATAGTCTAAAAGAGCTGTACGTATATATTTTAAGGCAATCAATTCAACCGTCAAGGTCTCTCCCTTCGTATTCAAACATTTATCAAAAACATTTTTAAATGTTTGAGATTCTGCATAAATATAAGAACCTTGTGCTATCTCTATAATAGGATGATGAATTTTCCAGAATGATTCTTTTGTTGTGTTTTCAAGAGCAACAGACTCTTGCATATTTATCTTTGTTTCTATATCCAAAATATAAACCTGTTTATCTGTGGCTTTTAAACAAAAACGTTTATAAAAAATCTCGAGCTTATTTAATTTGTTAATATATGATTCATAATTATCTCGAAGATCTTTAAGAACATTTTTGGTAATTTTATTGTCAACGATCGTAGAAAAGTAGGCTAACAATTTATTATCATCATGAGCAAGAACATTTTTAAGCATGCTTATTTCTATTGATTTATCTAATAATTTTTTTGCTAATTGATTGATAGCTCGACGAACAGTTTTCACGTAAATGTGCCGATTGTGAAGCCCATCAACTGAACCAGTAGCTTTTAAGATGCAAACCCAAAAGTTTGAAGAAGTGATCAATATTTTTTGTAAATTATCTTCAATAATGTCCATTTGATTTATATTGATATTTGGTAAGCTTTCCTGTAATTTTGACAATATGTAGTAAATGATATCTTCACAGAGCCTAATCAGAAAGTTACGAACTATATATTAGCATACAAGGGCAAAAAAAAAAAAAAAGGGGGAATTTCAATATTTAACAACTTACGTGTTTGGAATATGTAATTGTTTTTCGTTGGATTTACAAAATTTCATTATTTTGCCTAATAACTGATTATCCGCAATTTTGATACTTGAACCAAACCTTTCTTTTAACACACGACTAAATATCTCTACAAGTTCTTTTTGTTTAAAATCACCAATATCAACAGCAGCATCGAAAATAACATCGTCTTTAAGGACTTGAGTAGCTTCTTCGGCAGCATTAAAAAGCTGAAGACATGTAATATTGTATTTTTTCATAATAGAATACATAATTGAAAGGTAGTGAAATATCGTACATGCAAAATTTTCTTCGGTATGTTTGGATTCCTGTTGTGCTTCCTTAATATGTTCCAATGTAGTTTCTAACCACTGAGTACAAACTTTACTGAGTTTCCTATCACTTGAATCCATATCCTTTAAATCTTCTTCAAGAAAATTTACTAATTGATTTGGAAAAATCTGTAACAATTCCATGTTGCTTGAAACAGAAATAATATTTAACGCATGCATTGCAGAATCCTCTTGCCAGCCCAATCTGGCATTACTAAGCAATTTAAGTATAGAATCTATGTTATCTTTATCCCATTTCATCTTAAAACTGCTCAATAATTTAAGAACTCTTTCTCGGAATATAGGAGCAAGATCTATACTAAAATTATCAGGTATCTCTTTAAGATGTTTATCTAAACCAACTGCATTATCATTTAATAAAAAGCGATGTAGGTGATCAAGTGAGTATTCACAAAGTTCCTCCGATATATTTGTTTCAGGATGGAAAATGTTTTGCCATAAAAATACAATCGCACCGATATTTTGGCATAAGGAGATTAGATTCTGATTATTATTTTAAGAGGATATGATTTTAAGGAGGATAAGAGATTATGATTGTAAGAAAATATAATTAACACAAATTACCAAATATTTAGTATATAAGAAAAAATAAATCTTACCTTGCAAACTTTAATATAAATTTCATCGTTTTCAATTTTATCCATGTATGGTTTTGCAAATTTTCTGAGAGATTCTAGAAAATTTGACTCATTTCCCTTTGATTCCTTTGTATAGACAGGAGACTTGAACTGTTCGAGAAAACTATACCTTGGATCTAAAATTGGAGCTATTTCAAAAGCTTTCAACCATTCAAATTTAGTAGAATAGACGGAAATATGTTGTACAACGACACGGACAAGTCGTGGCAAGAGTTTAAGAACACCATGAGGTAAATCATCATTATTAATATCCTTAAAGGTTTGTAACATCTCAAGGGAAGGAAAATATTCAGGAAGATTATAGCCATGAGGCATATAAGATTTAGACAATTTATCTTTTATGGCGTGTGCAAATAACACGCATAAAAATACATTTTGTTTAACAAAGTTTAAGCTATTGAAATGCTTAAAAACAAAGTTTTCTATCACATCAAAATCCAGAACAACAGCATGTCTTTTGCTAATATCTAGATATTCAATGATTTTAGCTTTTAAATTTGTTTCCGTGATCGATTCGTAAATGAAAGAGACATACGGATAATACTTTTGTATATCTTTGAATCTTAGTTCATATTCACATTCAACAGAATTGTTCCATACGTCAAAATGATTTTCTCTGAAAGTGAATTCATGCTTTCTGAAATCATGAGACCAATTTTTCTCATCAGAGTGAAGATCAGGAATAATTTCTTCGTTTGATGAAGAACTTTTGATAGATAACTGACCAAATAACTTTTTTGTTAAACCACCTTTAAAACTACCATTATAAATAAAGTAACGATAATGGAAAGACCTGCCATCAAGATTTATGAGTGGTATATTTATTGGATCCGAATACCAATGTATAGGATTTTTCAAGTGTCTTTTGAGCTTTACGATTCCATATCTTCCATTACCTAATTCTTTAATATTACCAATGACAAAGACCATGGATTTTTTCTTTAAGCCTCTTTTCGGCATAATTATGTGAAAACAAGTAGTCACAATATTTTCGGTAGCGAGTTCAAGTGGAATTGGTTGAAAGTTCAACATCCGATCATTTTGTTCAATTTGCTCAGCTTGTTCAGTTTGTTCAGCTTGATCGGTTGGAACTGCATTGCGAGCCTGCTCAGCAGACGGATCATCTATGAAATTGTAAGTAGCAGCCTCCAAATTGTTGTCATCATCATCGTTTTTTTCAAAATTATTTAATTTATTTTTCTTTTTTTTCCTAGCAAAGATACGTTTAATGCTCAAATTTTGAATAAAGGTTTTTGAAGGTTCTTGATTAAATTGATCAGGTCGTGTATTTATATCACCTTGTCCACTTACAATAGAAATATCATCATCGTTTTGGGAATCTATATCAGAATCATCATTTTGAGAATCAATTTCAGATTCATCATTTTGAGAATCTATATCAGATTCATTATTTTGGAAATCTATACCAATTTCATCGTTTTGAAAATCAGTATCAATTTCATAACTTCGTGCATTTATAAGATTTCCGGATGTTTCTTCTAGTTGTATAGCTAGACTTTCATCACTTGTTCTAGTAATTTTAGTTATTCTTTCTTGAAATGTATCCGAATTTGACATGACAGTTAGAGAAACACTATCATTGTCAATGATATTAGGCGAATAAACAGTATTGTTTTCATTAAAATTTTGAGAATTGATACTAATTTCATCAATTTTAGTTACAATCTTGTTTGAGTCAATCGATTGATCATTGTTTGTTAATTTCAAATTTGAAACAACATCATCTAACATATTCGAGTTAGAAATATCAATTGGAGGAATTGCAAATGCTCTTTCATAGTTTGGATCTAAATTTTCGCTCATGATTAAATAAAATGTTGTAAGGATGAGAAGCAAATGTTATCAGGTTTTTTTAGACTAAATTAGCAGTTTTATCATGTTACCGTAGTCTTATAAATTTGTATTTGTTTGCGTACAAATAATTGCATACCAAATTTAGTAATTTTTTCATTATTTATTAATAAAGCACCACCATTAATTTATACTTTTAGGGATGTTTCTAAAAATAGATAGGTTTCTCAAACACAAGATTGGTTCGGTGTCATGTCTGAGACTTCCGATTTCGCATTATTTAAACCGACAACTGGTTTTGGAAATCATTTTTTTTTGACAAAATCTTGGAGAATGGATTTTACGTAAAAAAAAAAAGTTGGCCATTTTTTTTAATAAAATCATAGGATTGCTTCATTATTTAGAATTTTTAGTATTGTTAATGCTACAAAACTGGTCAACTGTTTGCATAAGAATCTCTATTCATGCACGTATAAGCAAGCTTTTTTTTTTTTTTACCTAAAATGATTAAGCATTCTGAGTCATTAAACATTTTTGGAAAAATAAAGAATGTATTAGAAAACGACAGATATACATATATATTTTAAGAAAGTTGTTTTGAATCATGTGTTGTTTTGTTTGCTCGTGTATAAATTAACATTTATTTTTTGTAAACAATCAAATATTGTCACAAGATGTGCCTTAAAATGAATTATTAACTAAATTCGCCATTATATTTCTAAATTCAAAAGGTGCATAAAACTACAGAATTTATGATTACAAATCATTTATTTGTTAAAATAATGCATTTTTGAAAGAAGTGTCGAATAAAAGATTTAAAGGACCAAATTTTAAAAATTACTTTTATCGAAAATTCACTATATTAAAAATATCGAGAGTGACATATAACAAGCATACTTATTTTCACTTTCATTTTCAATCTCACTTTCGCGATAACCCACTATCGGTGCATGTGACATTATGAGTAGTTATTATCATATCTCTCTATAAGTGCATATTCTATAATGCATACTACCTCATTACTGTTATGTGCACTTATAATGATTGAAAAGCTTAAAATATTTTTTAGGAAATCTTGTAGTTTATATAAAATAATTCGAGACTTTAATAGCAATGATAAGTAAGGTCATTGTTTTTTTTTTAAAGAAAAAAGCTCGAATTAGATAAATTTTTATAAACAAAAAATTTTGATAAGGAAATTGGACATGTGAAAAAACAGAACACAAGTATAATAATGACAAACCATTATTACAGACTTATTTAAAATGACTAATAAAACGGAGACGGCCTTCTTTTGTATAGTTGACATTGGAATTCGTTTACAAGATTAATACAGTTACGGTGCTTGCCGTATTATTTGTCTTAAAAATTGTAATCCATATTGGCGTTGTATTCATAGCTAGGGATGAGCTATTGCGCAGCCTGCGCAAAATTTTTGATAATTCAGGTCAGCTGACATAATTCTAGACAGCTGAGATATATAGCACTTGCAAGCTGCGCAGTAGACTCGATTTGCTCATCACTTCGTAATACTGCCATATTGTTATAAAAATAGGAGATTAAAATAAAAAGATTCGGAGATGCCATAATAGCTGAATAAGAATTAGGTTCTCCAAAGACCCAGATTAAAATGATTTTTGTACATAGTTGATTGTAAATGGTTATTATCATTATCATTTACTACGAGTCTAACCGAAGGTCTAGATTACTTCTGGTTTTATTTTGGTTTTAGGTCAGGATTTGCCATTACCTGTTCTATTTCACAAAATCAAAATTTAATTAAATGCATTTTTTTACAAAAAACATTCTTAAGTATAAAAAAGAAAATTATAAACAAAAGTGTAATACGTAGAGAACATGTAATTCTGTAATTTATGAAATGCATTTGTGCGAGTGATACAAATCCAAAAAGAGAAATTAGCCAATCGGAGAACGTAAAAGTGATTATCCAGACATGTGTGAAAACAGAAAAAAAACGTAAAAACGAAAATACAAGAAATCGAGTGTTTAAACTCGTCTTAGATCACTAATTAAAAATTATGGGAATGAAAATTTAACATATAAAAAGTGATTTATTTCTACCTCTAACTTTAACGTCTTAATCATAAATTTTAATTTCACGAACTTGGGTTTGTATCACTCACACAAATAAGTATTTCCGGCTGAGCGAGACCTGACAAAGCAATCTATGGTCTGGAACGAAGCGGCAGATTCGTACATCTACGCCTTTTGATAACCGATGTTATGCTTCTGATGCATTTATAATAAAAAATATCAAACCCGTAATTTTGATATGCCTTATTTGCATTATGTAACAACGCAGGCTTACGTGAACATCCATTTTATTTTCGCGAGTAATACAAACCCTAAAAAGGCAACGGCCAATCGGCAGATCAAAATAGAGATGGACAAGAAACATACCACCAAATTTTTTTGCGTAATGGTAATAATAAGTAAAAAAAACTGCGATATTTGCAAGCAACGTAACAATTAATAAGATATATGCGCAGCACGCGATGCCACGCAGGACCAGCACGATCACAACAAGTAAAATTCAAAATACAGTGTTATACTTCAATTGAAATGACCTGTCGCTATTATAAATACGTAAATTTGAGACTGAATTGACATAGTAACGTCAATAACTCATTAAAACACTAATTATATCTCACCAAAAATTTCACTTTAAATTGAAACTAATTATGAGATATAGTGTAATATAGACTTGATTAGCTTTTTTATACGCCTATATTATGTAATATAAAGGAATAACCATCTTGAGCGATTAAAAATAAGAAAAAATTTACTGGGAAAGTATAACTGACATATCGGCTGCTTATGCAGCCGATACTTTCCCAGTAAATTCTTATGCAGGATTATCCAAATATAACTCACTGCTATCTATACTTATCCAGTTAAAAAACCTATTACTGTTGTTAAATTCTAGGTACAAAAAACTTTGTTCATTTCCCGAAACCTCTTCTATCATTTCTGATACTCAAATACAGAGAAAGCAACGGAGTTTCTTAAGAATTAGGTGATTCATAAACAAGCTCGATGAAGTTTCAGAAAATGGTGTCTCAAAATTTACAACAAAGCTGTAAATATGAATAAAAAAATAAATAACTAAATAAATAATTTTGATAGTAAACACAATCGTTAAACCAAACGGAATTAAACTTCATACTCACCCTGGTAATTTATTGAACGATCAAATGATTACGGTTAATCATACATTCTTTTAAAACGCAATCTTTAAAGTAAACAGAATTAAACCTCACACTTACACCAGTGATTTATTGAGCGATCAAATAATTATAGTTAATTATATATGTTCTGAGTCATTTCACGATAGACCTAGGTCATTCATAAATTTTCACCGATTCGGAAATGACCCAGGTCAAATTTTTAATGAAACGCTATGCGTGACAAATATATATCAACTACTTTATTATATATAAATAAATTAGTTAGTGCTTATTTGTCACACCAACGGCGGTGCGTAATTTAAGGATCGGGTGTGACCAATCGTCGGCGTGATAAATAATCACTATCTAATTTATTTATATAAAAAATAAATTAGTCAGTGCTTATTTGACACACCTCATCACTTGATCCCAAAACTTAATAAAAATTTTGAATCCAGAATTATTACGTATGTCAAATTAATTAATGCAAAAAAACAAAAATTAATAAATAAAATACAACTTTTTTTCTTATTAATTTTTAAAATGAAAAGTTACGCATGAAACCTTTGGTCGAATATTAAAACCAAAATTTAAGTATTGGGTGACATAATTTTAAAATCATTTACGTTGCAACTGAAGAACTTTATACGGTTAAACGACCTAGGGACGCAAGTTTGTCCTGCAAAAATTTTTTATGCTTTAACGTGCATTTTTTTATTGTGGTTTTTTTTATTTATTTGTATTGTGCATTTTTTATTAATTAAATGAATTTTATTATTTATTTGTATTGTGCATTTTTTATTAATTAAATGAATTTTATTATTTATTTGTATTGCGCATTTTTTATTTATATAATTTTTTTTATTTTTTTGAAGCATTAAAGCATTTCTTTTAATATAGTTAAATTTTATTATAAAGAATTTTTATAAGGTTTAATTTCTTTATGTAAAAGTTTGCTTTTTTATGCAAAAGGCTTTAATAATATAATTAATATTATTGCTTGAGTTATATAATTTATCACTTGGGTTTTTAATTTTAAAATTTTAAAAACTTCACTGATTGAGAAATGACCTAGGTCATTTCAAAATTCAAATCGTGAAATAACTCAGAACATATATACATTCTCTTGAAACACAATCGTTGAAGTGAACAAGAATAAACTTCATACTCATCTAGTAATTTGTTGAATGATTAAATGATTACGTTTAATAATATATTCTCTTAACACAATCTTTAACTTAATACTTTAACTTCATACTCACTCTGGTGATTTATTGAATGATCAAATGATTACAATTTTGTTTGTCTCTCATTCTTATGTGCACCTATACGATGAAGAGCAATATACGGTGTCAGAGGTAAAACCGACATCTCATGGAACCTGCGAAATGGATGTCATTGTGGCATACTTACTTAATTAGAGTTGCCCATGACGATCCATCTGAAACATGTGCGCCCGGCCCCAAAAGAAGCCATATGAAAGTACACAAG